TCGCGTGAGAAGATGATGCCGCCGAGTCATGACGCGATCTCGGACGCGATGAGCAGGTTGACCCGAACCACGACCAGCAGACAACCCGTCTGCTCTCGCTCGCCCGGCACAACCCCGTCCAATTTTTATGCGCAAAAGCCTCACTCAGAACTCTCAGAAAGACGTCGAATCACACATCACCCAATCTGCTTCTCATAACACTGCCCAACATGGCTCTTCATCTCTACCCTGCTACATCCTCGACCTTCCAGCCGAGTCACTCACTCACATCACCTCATATCTGGACCCACATGCGCTTCTCAGCTTTGGCCGTACAAACCGGAAATTCCTCGAACACATAAAGAACGATAACACCTGGCATCGCGCCTTCGTTTGCCAATTTCTGGGCGTCGCTCCAGAGGCTGATCTCGCCGATGAGAACATCTTAGTCCTTCGGCGCTCGGAGCATTCCTGGAAGCGCGAGTTTGTGCTGCGCTATAATACGCGCAGGTAAGCATTTTGTCTGCCAGATAAGGATTATAGTCTGATCGGTTATCTCAGGCGCTGGATGCGCTCGCGAACGCCAACGATAACGCATAGTCCGCATCATGCGCTGGTGTCTTCTCTCCACATGCTCTCTGATGAAGCCTTGCTCTCGAGCTCGCTTCAATATGGCGTGGTCGCGCGGTCTAACCCTCTTACTGGTCGCGTCGTCAAGGGCTTCCTCAACGCCTCGGGCTTGCATCACGGCCTAGCGAACGGCAATCCGAACGCAGACTTTACCCCGGATGTCTCTGCGTGTGCCGTTAGCTCTGAAGGTGCCAGCGCTCGCATTGCCTGGGGCCGTCGCGACGGTGCATTCGGTATTATGTGGCACCCTCGTACTATGGCGGGTAGTCGCGCCGCCGCGAACGTTAGCATGAGTAGTCCAGAGGAAGAGCACCGTGGGTCCGTCAACGAGGCCATCTTCATACGAAGTGGCGAAGCTTGTGTCACTATCGGCGCCGACGGCACAGCAAAGATTTGGAGCGCCCGCCGTTTCGCTTGTGTATGGACATCGCCGCGTCCTGAGCTCATTCCCGAGCCATATGTCAAAGTTCTTGAAGACCTCGCTCGTGGCGTGCTTGTTTGTACGACAGACAAGGGTGCTCTCGTCGTTTATTCCGGATTCAATATTGCGCGGTTGCTTGCACCGGATCGCACGTCTGGGTCCATCGAAGATTTGCGTACTTTCCGTGTGCGCGCACCTGCCACCGAGGGCGCTGAAATCGCCCAACTGTTCCTCGACCCCAATAGTCCTGCGGCGCACACCGTGCTGGCCATACGTCGCGCCGGCTCGGCAACCTTCGACCGTGTAGACGTCAATACGGCCACGGGCGTGATTGTGATCTCTTCGTTTGGCGATGCAGGGGCTGGAGCGATCAGCACCATTCTGCCCCAGTTCGCCTCGGCAACGACCGGTGAACATCCATATATCGTCGCGGGAGATACGCTTGGGGGCGTCTCGATATACCCTTGGGTTCCGTCAGCAAATGCAGCCAACGATGAGCCGACATCCCCTAGTCGGCGTATAGACGTATTTCCGGATGCGCCGGTCACGGTCCTCGCCGCTACACCGCTAGTTGTAGCCGCTGGCTCCTCGCGCGGCAACGTACGCGTGCTTGACGTGCTGACCCTCGAAATTCTGCGGAATTTCACGATCACAGCAGATATACCTGTGCGTAATATCATACTCCGCCGCGAACTACTCGTTGCGAGTGCAGGGGCGGACGTCATGGCGTGGAAAGCGGGCCCTGTGGGCAAGGACGGCAAACCTTCAAAGGGCAAGAAAACGAACAAGGTCAAGGAGATGCACCAAGATCGCAAGTGGAAAAGTAAGCTGCTACACTTGATTACTTGGACGCCGTGCTCACAATCTGGCAGAACATATTCAACTCAGAAATGCTATCAACGAGTCGCGCGGTGAGCTTGATCTTGCGGGCGCATCGGGACGCGCCGCGCGCGGGCGTGAGCAGGCCGAACGTCTCGGTGGACTTGGTCTCAGCGAACGTGAAGCTGTCGAATATGTGCTCATGCTGTCACGCGAGGAGGCCTATACACGAGCGACAGAGCAAGGAGAGGAGGGCGTCTTCGAGCTCGACGACGGCACGTCATCGACCCCCTCATCGGGCAGCATGAACTCCCCGTCACGCACTTCATCTTCCCTTGCACCGTCTCCACCGTTACGAGCCACTACCAGCCGAGTCCCTTCAACACCGCCGCACCGTCCAATTGCCGAGCCGAGCACGTCGAATCACAAAGTACAAGTGTCTCCGCGCTTCCTGCCGGAGCCTTCGGAAGCTGGTGGACTTCCTGGCAGCCTTGAGTTGCCCGCGCCCATTGATGTACGACGCGAACCGCCCGCGGAAAATGCTTTCCCGGACATGACCCCGAGTAGCCACGGCAGTAGCACGCCCGCACTTCGTGGTGCCGTGACGCCGCCGCGCGCGTCCGTCTGGAACCCGCGACCAAGCACAAGCGCCTCGCCGCGCGGAGCGTGGACCACCCCGCTGCGCACCCAGCCCTCGAGCTCGCCGCCCGTTTCACGTCTTGCAAGCGTTACGGGCTCCCCGCCAATCACACGCTTTGCGAGCGGTTCGTCTCCTAGTACGAGTGCTAGCCAGCTGCCTGTAGCGCACTCGCCGCCGTTCCGCAACATGGCTATCTCAGAGTCTGCTAGAGAGCAAGAAGAGAAGTGGGCACAGGAGGCGGCGGCTATTGCGACCATTGAGGACGAGGAGCTACGCTTCGCGCTCGAGCTGAGTTTGGCGGAGGCTAGGAGTCAAGCTTCTTGAGATTAGGTTTGAGGTCTGTCATAGACGAAGATAGAGGACCTGTGCGATATAGATAAGCTATGAGATATGCATAAGCGTATGTGAGTTTCGGCCTTCAAGTACTCGATAGTTACAGGTTTATGATCAATACTGTTTAAGTCTATACTAACACTGCTGAGTGGGTTTCTTGGATAGCGAGAGATGGACACCAGGTCTGGTTGCTTTGAGCCTGGCTTGGTCCGTGGTTATGGCGCACGGCGGCCAGCGGTGGTGCTCTGGCAGCCTGGGGGTTACGGAGCTGTTCAATGTCCCGCACAGCCCGCCCGACGTCGGTCCCGGAAGCTCCACGGCGCAGTCTCAAACCGTCATAGGTGCTGGCTGAAGTGTTCCTGCCTACTGTGTACAATGCGCTCAGCGGGCGCATTTAGCACGGCTCACAGTGCGGCCGACACCCTGTATGCTGATATCGCGCAACGCACCATGCGCAGGTATATAAGGGTAAGTATCCCGCAACCCAGATTCCACCCAGATCCCGCGCGATACATTGAGCCTACGATGGTGTTTGCATTTGTCCGTCGTATGCGCCTGGTACGCGCGTCCTTATCACATCACATCTTTTACGCTTGAGAATGATATGGAATGGAATTTTACAGGTTTTGAACCCGCCCTTGGTCGAGAAGAACACCGCTCCAGTACGGTTCGGCATTCTTAGTACTGCGGGAATTGCATCCACGGTCCTCGCTCTGCCCGCGCGGGACCACCCCGATGTCGTCGTACGCGCTGTCGCAAGCCGCGATGAGACCCGAGCCAATGCGTTCGCCAAGAAGCACAGTATCTCAGTGGTATACCACGGTGCCTCAGCTTACCAAGGCCCGTTAATTCGCTCCCTCGCTCACAACTAGTTGTCACGAAAGATGACAAGGCTGATCAATCGAGTAGATATCCTCAATGACCCCGATATCGACGTTGTCTACGTGCCTTTACCCATTTTTATGCATTATGAGTGGACGATGAAGGCTCTTGCGGCTGGAAAACATGTCCTGCTCGAGAAGCCGAGTGCGTGCACTGCGGAAGAGACGCGTACGATGTTCGCTTTTGCGGAGAAGAAAGGCCTCATACTCATGGAAGCCTTCCACTATCCGTACGTCAACGGGAGCTAAAGTCATCCATTGCCTAACGTTGTGTCCTTCAGTTTCCACCCCGCAACCCAGCGAGCGAAAGCTATCACCGAGAGCGGCGAGATCGGAGAGGTCAAGGAAGTACACACGGGCTTCCAAGCTGACTTCAGCCTGGTCACCAAGCTGGACTTCAAGTACGATATTGGACATGGCGCATACATGGACATTGGATGTGCGTTTCTCTCTGTTCGAATCTATGCTGCCAGTGAACTGAACTGGTGTCTAGGTTATGCCCTTTCCATCGCTCGCCATCTTTCAGGAGCGAACCCTGTACGCATCGTCTCCGCGACAGCAGATACTGACTCGTCAATGCCGCGCGTCGACATTGGCACAGATGTCGAGATGGTCTTTGAGCGAGAGATCAAGGCTACGACCCAGGCTCACTTCCGCGTGCCTCGCTGGCCGCGCGCGTTCGGGTTCCTGCCTTACCCGCCTTGGAATGTATACGCCCGCGTGGTCGGAACCAAGGGCGAGCTCTATCTGTATAACTTCGTCGCTGCGTTCGCGTACCACTATATCGCCGTTTCTGTAAGAGGCGAGGATGGTAAGGTCATCGAGAGGACGGAGAAACACTACGGGAAGGAGGGCTGGTCGACGTAAGCTGATGGACGCTGTGAGCTCTTAATGGGGTACTGAATCTTCTTATAGTTACAGGTACCAGCTTGAGGCTTTCGTCGACAAGGTGCGCGGGCGCAAGCCCCAGCACTGGTACGATGGAGAGGACTCAATACAGGATATGACATGGATCCAAAAGGTTTACGAAGAGGTATGGGTCTCAACGCCTCGCGATACACATGCCATGCTCAGATATTCACATTTTGTCCAGACAGGACTCGGCGCCAGGCCGGCGTCGTCATTCAAGTTACAGACTGTCGACGCCTAGACTTCCCGCGTGTCTTACGATGATTCCTCTGGCGAGTAACATATGATACCTGTCAATGTTGCATGTAGACCTACGATATTATTTCCAGTCCTGTGTATGCGAATTGCCTAAATCGATTATATTGGGTCGGTCTCGATTGGAGACATCTCCCGCTTAGCTCAGTTGGTAGAGCGCGTCACTAGTAATGACGAGGTCAGTCGTTCAAGTCGGCTAGTGGGAATAAATGCAAAATCTGTAATCATTTTTCTTCAACTTCCTTCGACGACGACATCGTGCAAAAGCGATAGCTATATATCGCGCGGAAGCCGATTGCAATGCACAAGTTCAAGTCGTGTACGGCCTCATTGAACAACTTTTGCGCTATGGGGACCGCCAGCATGAAATCCAGCAACAAATCAATATACGGGTGTCAGGCGGAGCACGTCTGTGGGCAGATCGCCAGCCGCCATCCTCGCTAGCTAGGGTACAGGGTTAAAACATTATTGTATCAAGACGTCAGCAACATTTGAATCGGGCACATGTTCTTCGTGGAACGGTATATGGTACGGCGAAGCTCAAGTCATAGCGAAGACCGCGACTATGCAACGGGTCCGAGCGCCGGGGCGTTACTGAGGAACTCGTAGAAGTCCTCCGTCGGAGGTGTACCCTTGAACTGCTTCACGAGCTTCTCATCTGCGAGGGTGGTGTTAGCTTCAACCCACAGCAGACGCTCGGATTGAGAAACACGACGCACAAAGGGGGTCCGAGTCTAGATGCTTGAAGTGCTTCAACTCCCACTTGCTACCCTGAGCCGTCTCGTCGCGCCTACGCTGGCGCTGGTCGTTCTCGATCTTCGTCTTCTCCCGACTGGCCGTGTCGAAATCGCCATCGCGAATGCCCTTGGCGACCGCACGCCAGAGCTTGCGAGACTCCCAGTCGTTCTGGGTGTCAAGCGGCGCAACGATAACTTCCTCCTTCGGCTGCGTCGACACATCGTGAAACCCTTGACCGGTGCTGAACTTAGACGAGGCGTGCCAGAGACCGTCGATGGTATGCTTTGCGGACCACGAGCCTGACTTCGCCACAGACGCCTTGAACTGATGGGTCTTGCCGGAGAAATAACCGCGGCCCTTGTACTCAATCTACTCGTCTCTCGTTAGTTGCGCGCATTCTGTGATAGACTATTTGAGACGTACAGTTGATGTCCAACCGTCCGAGCTCTGGATGTAGGAGGTGTCGGTAAGCTCGATGTACGGGCTTCCGTACCAGATACCATCGATGCGTAGCCGAGGGAGCGTGATCAGGTATTTCTCCTCCTTGCCCCCGGGAAGCGCGACGGTCAGAATTGCATGGCCGATCTGCTTGACAATGATGCTACCCGCTGGGGTGCCGTATGAGTATGAGCCTCCTGTAGTAGTGTTCAGTGCGTACCACTGAAGCTCGTTTTCTGCGCACTGTGACCGGTCAGAGTCAAACCTTTGGTCTTGTTCGTGATGTGATAGGCCGTGATGGGCGGGTGGTGCGATACTTGCTCGACGACGAGGTCGGTTTGGCCGCGACCGTCCTTGTCTGGCCAGTAGCCATAGAATAGCTCGCCGAGAACGGGGTTTAGAGGCCTGTAGGTCTATGTCAGCGTAAGTCGATGACGGGTTGCGACGTAACGACCAAAGGAGAAGCCGGACTGCCATGTGGATAACAGACTCAACGGGAACGCGGCTCCCAAACATCGAAACATTCAGCAACCGCGTAAACCGCGGTGCAGAGAATGTATCTGTGCCAGCGCTCCCTGAACCAGATGGGAAGGCTAACCGCGAAACCCGATTATGGGAGGCGCAACCCACCGCCACAGTTCGCAAATCCCCAAAGATATACCAATAGCCAAAGAAATGAAGATACACGCACTTCTTCTCAGAGCCCATACTCTCATTACGACTTGTGTACTGGTCCTTGAGAGTGCAGATGAACCACCTGAGCACCGCAAGCGAACGTTCCTCGGGTCCAGGTGCATCTGCGATAGCAGAAAACAGTTCCGGGCGTTCACACCAGTATGCCGGGAACTCGGTGAGCGAGATGGGCGACAAGATGAATGGAGGCGCAGTCAAAGAGGACAGGTCTCCCGAGAAGGACGCGATGCTGTGCAGAGCGTCAGCGGGGCAACTAGGAGCTTCAGGGAGGCACGTACGCCTTGATGAAGGCCGTCCACGATCCCTTCTGGCCAGCGGGTACACCGGCACCAGCCTATCAGATAGCAGTCAGAAACAAAGCCTGCAATAAATGCTTAGATATGTCACGCACATCCTCGGGTGTTGGGGGAATACTAGGAGTGGGGGTCTTGTCTCCGGACATGGTAGTGGTTGAGAAGCAAGAGTAGTTGGAGTTTGGTTCGATTCAAGAGCGGATACGTGTCTATTCAAGCGTGATATGAGAAGCGAATCAGGAATACCGATCTGGGAGGGAGATGGTGGTAAGAGGAGAGACGGAGCAAGCTATGATCTCAACCGCGTGCGTCCATCGCGGCGTCGTCACTTGCAGTAGTTGCACCGTGACAGCCACCTCCTCTTCGATGCAGGTTACCGTTTACGTCGCGTTCAGTATACAATCTTCACGACTCTCTATGCAATATACTCTTCTGTCTATCTTCGGCTATCGTGTCTGAGCGCTGCTGGCCCACTTGTATTGGAATTGAGCTTTCTGTGCCCGTGGAGCCGACGGCACGATATGCGAGCTTGCAGGGAGCGTCCACGACGCAACCTGTGCCTGTGATCTTACGGCTTTAGGGACTCGCCGACCTGAATTGAGCGTTATGAGCCCATTCTGCTATCTCCTCATACGTTCCAAACCGCGTACACCATTCATTATGCATAGGTCCCACCGCCCGGATGATGCAATCGATCAAGCGCCCGTCGACGTAGCGCTGACGATCATTTGACGATTATCTGACACGGAGTGCCACATCTCGGGCACTCGTTGTATCCCCGTCGACAGTGCAATCAATGTGGCCTCAAATTACAAACCTCGTTCAGCAAGCAACTTCTGGGCAACTACACGTATCTACTATACAATCGAGGAATGGATTCGTGGCAGAGTCATTCCGGCTTTCTGATTGGCTGCGTGCTGACGTGGCATCGAGCATTCTCGACACTTGACGCAAGCTTGACGTCGGCGAGCACGGTGAGCGCGAGGAGAGTTCTCGAATCATCCGTGACCTTCGAGTGATGGTCGCTGTCTTCAGATTCTCGAAAGCTGTGGTATATATAATGAACGTGGTCCCGCAAGCTGACCGACATCAGCAAGGATGGCTGGTGGGTGCGATGACGGTTCATTCTCAGCCGCTGCACACTGGCGACTAAAGCTGCGTAGGCAGCGACAAGGACCGCGTTAGCCCCGCAGACCGCCGTTCGCGTCAACTGATACAATGTAGCCCGTGGTGGGTGCATGCGCTAGCGCCGTGTGTTGCAGAGTATATTGACGTGCAAGCACGTAGTTGGAAGGGATGCGCGAAACCGAGAGCCGCGCGGAGCGCGGTTCGAGGTGAGCGCGCCTGGTAGCGATGGTGCAGGGCTGACATGACATTGAACATAGAAAAAGTACACAATGGCTGTTGTCGTTATGGGGTACGCGATAGCCGTGCGGAGCACGGGTCCACGCTAGTACGTATACAAATATGGCCGGGTATCACTTGGGGAAAGGTATGTCCGTCGAGTCCCGTACGTAGGCAAGATGTTCCAAACACATGAACAGATCCTCGGCCCATACAGCAAGCGTCGGCGCTCTGTCTGTCGTGGGGTTTCCACCTTGGCTCGCCCACAAGAGCTGCCCAGAATACCATTCCTCGTACACCTTCGGGAGTTGGCCCAACCACTGCGCTTTCACAGAGGAAGGCGGCTCGTCGCGACCCGTCTGCCCACGAGTATCATGGTGTAGCTTGGAGCGCGCCATCTCATTCGCTATCTTCATTGAAATGTGGCGATTCTTCTCATTCAAATATGGAAGGCCGGAAATTGGATCAAACTCGAGGGCGTTTAGAAAATGTGAAGTCGTGACGAAGGTCATGGTCACTCACAGTCGGCCTGGCGGGACCCTTAGGGATTATATGGAAACCCAACCCGACGCGCACATCTGTCACACGCTCTGCACTCGCCCCGACGCACATAGCGACCCCGACTACACGGCAGTCCTCGTCGCGGCCAGAATGAAACTGAACATGTCGGTCGTTTGGGGCCACTTCCTGCATCGCCACCATCTTATCGCACATCGCAGTCAATACCTACGATGATTGAGTGGGAGTCAAAAGAGACGGTCTGGACGTTACTGACCACGCGAGCGAGGGGAGGCGCTGTCGGCGAAAGATGACCCGCATGATCAAATTGACGGACATACTCAAGCAGAAGAGTCAGAATATACTCGAGGATATCGGCTATTGTGAGTGCACTGCATGAGCATGCGTCAAGGAAAAGATGACTGAATGAAGATCCACCTGTAGACTTCATCGTGCGGCTCTTTCGGACACCCGGCCAACGCTTCGCCACGAAGGCGTACGCACGCTCGTAATCTTCGTGCACGAGAACCGTGTTGACGGCTACTGTGAAAAGGACGAGATCGGGCCGCTGCGGGTAGTTCGCGGGGGCGACCGCACTGGACTGATGCCGAGACGCAGGCTGCCGCTGGGCAAACATCCTGTCAGAGATGTCCCTCGAGGTTGCAGGAAGCGGTGATGGGTAGGGATCGTTGAAAATGGACATATTGGGTGGGAGGAGATGGCGGACTGGATGTCAGAGCACAGTTGAGCGGCCTGTTATATAGCTCGCGCAAGAACCACATCGCGGAGTTGTGGTTGGCGAAGTTTGCTTCTCATTGTCCAATTTGTCCTCGTGTTGATCGCGTGTCTCGCACTGAAATACTATTGAATAGACACGAACCACCTCTACATACCCAGGAACCGCAGTGTCGTGAACCCGATAGAGCGGCGTTCGTGGGATACGTATCGATGCGAGTGATATCAGGCGACAAGCCTACTTACTACTAACAGTTCCTTTCGTGCGGCGATTCATTTGTTGTCATTGCGTAGCTATTTGACACATTTCTCAAACTTGAGTAACTGACACAGTGTACGTGATGACGTGCTACTGAGGAAACGGTATGTGCGACGTGTCTCGTAACCAAGCAATACATTCCATAGCCTCCAGCAGTTCCTCGGCCTTGATAGAGAAGACGACCGCGCTGTCCGTCGTAGGTTGGCCA